TAAATTTGCACACGGGATTTATGTTTTACCTATTATGCCCATCATTTATTGTCAATGCATCAATGTCCCCCCTTTACCCCTCCCTCTAACATGTAAGTTTCAGAAGGCAGGGGATATTTGTCTTCTTAAGTTTATTGATAAATTTAACCACCCAAAACAGTACCTGATAAATAATAGGTTTCAAATGAATTTTTGTTGAATAAATTGAATGCATAGATGTACATGTTATTTCACATTTCTCTTTTCACGTGTTTTTCTCTATGTCTGAAATATCCCAATCCATTCTATTCCCCAAAGTATACAATCTTATTGATTTTTTTTTTTACTTCAAACATTTCTTGTTTACCTATTGGTTTCCCCAACTTCTTGGGTCAGGAGAATACATCTTATCTTTCTATGCCTATCTCCTAATACATATCAGAAAATAAGAGGCACTTAATAAGTATTTGTTGAACTCAACCGACCTGAATAATCTTGTATTTCAAGAAAAGGACCTAAATGCATAGATCACATAGAAATTGACCAAATTACACAGAAGAGCTCATTCTAAAACCGTCAATGACCTTTATTCCATAAGTTCTTTTGCTTAACACAGAAGGTTCTGGTATATCAAGTTGGATAACTGGTTGAGGCAGGTCTTAATGTTTGCAAATTTTATTTTGCCAGGGCTTCAGAAATGGTAATTAGGTCTAGAATAGCTAGTCTCAGACCAGATGGTTAGTACATTCTGAATTTTAGAATTAGGGAATGCTCCTTGGCTAAAGATAAATTAGAGAAGTGGAAAAATGGAATCACTATTACTTAGTTATTACATGTAGGGTATTGTGCCAGCGAGTTTACATATATTAACTCTTATCCTTCCAACAAACTTGTGAAATAGATATCATGTCTGTACTTTACAGATGAGGAAGCTAAGGTTCAGAGAATTAAATAGCTGTCGAAGGTCACACAACAAGTAAGGGGCATGACTGGAATTTGACCCAAATGCCCTGTGGAACAGAATCCCAGCCCTTGACTAGGTTGCTTCCCCTCCCACAGTGTGGGAGTTTCAGTCTCAGACTCATCTTCCTATGCATTGTGAACTTACCCACCTGCTTTATTGCCTTTGCGTCTGTGGTGTCTGGTTCTTTTATTCATCTGAACACAGTGTGGAATGTTTCGTACGGTGTACTCATTCTTTCATAGCTCAGACCCTATGGAAGTATGAAATGTAATAAAATTTAATGCTGGCCTGCAAATGCCACCAAGTATAACACAGAAGCCAACCAAATCGCAGGCCTGCTCGGAAGAAGTGCCCCTCTCAAATGAGCTACCTGAAAAATCCCACCCACCCCTTGCACAGCGTGGACTGACTGATCTGCTTTGATTCTGAAGAGCAGGTCTATAAACCTGGACATGAACTTTTTTCGTTTCCTGCTCAAGAATTTCCAATTCCTTAGCAAAAACAAAAACAAATAAAAGCAAAGGAAGAAGCAGTCAGGGAAGGTTGGAAGGAGTACGGGAGAGGAAGTTTGTTGCAATTACATTTTGAACAGCGAGATATATGCTATGACCATCCCCTGGGACTGAGCAAAGAACAGTCCAGTTTTAAAAAGCCCTTTAGGGAGGATTGTTATGAATGACAGACTTGCCAATGCACTGAGAAACCTATTCCAAAGAAAAAATACTGTATTCAGTTTGGTTACAGCCATCTGTTGTCATGACTGAGGCCATGAAGGGTAGAGGAGTAAAAAGCTGTCATAGAGCAAGAGACCATAGTCACCAACGATTGCTCAACCCACTGAGTTAGTTCCAGCCGGGAAAAGCATCAGTAAAGACATTTAATAATCAAAAAGCTTAGCTGAGTAGAAACATAAAGATGACAACTATGTAGCCCCCAAGGTCAAACGTGGATAATGCATGCTTGGGGAAGGCTGAAGATGCTTCCAGAAGCTTGACTTCTAGGACCTACTGGCTACTCCACAGACAAGGGTGAGCAGAACTCGGTCCGTAACCAGAGAGCAATCAATCTGTTGGTGCACTGCTTATGCAGATAGTATCTGGTGTGATGTCCCTTCATTTGTCTCTGTCATGATTGACCTTTGCCATAAAATGGACATCATTCAATTTTATGGCTGGGAGAGGCCTTCGAGATTGATCTTATCCACACCCCCTCCCCCCATTTTACTGATGAAGTTTCTCAGACATAGATTTAGGGAATTCAACTTTCAGGAGAACATGAAGTGCAATCGCAGAACACACATTCTGGATTTTCCAGGGTAGTGCTGAATTTGCATATCCTGCCTGGCTGGCCCCATGCGTATACCTGTATTTGTCAGAGCATGTGTTCCAATTTGAGATTTGGAAAAAATATGATCACCTTATGGTTCAGAAAATAAGGTTGGAGAAAATAAAATGTTCATAAAAATCTAGTTTGGCTTGTGCATCCACGCCGAGGTGCACAAACCGGTAAAGGAAAGAGAATAAAAACAGGTACTTGTTTAAGCTTTTATGGAAATATGTGTTTTGGGGGAGAAACTGCGAACATATGGAGGTCCCCACTTGAGCTATTGATAAAGGTGACAATAGGAAGAAATACAGATAGTTGGGGGAGGTAGTACTTATACCTGGAATGGACTGAATTATAATTCAGCAGGTCCATAGAATTAATTTTCATGCATTTTAACAGCTTGCAAATGCTCTGTGAAAAGCAGATCTAAATACATTACCCCCATGCTGCTAACCTGGAAAGAGACAGCATGAGAGATGCTGGGAAGGATGAAAGCAAGGGGGTGAAGGACACTGCTGCCCAGGGAGCAACAGTGGCTATCAGAAGGGATAGCCACTTGATGGCAAGGATGGACCCCAAGAGAGAGGGATGTGGGGTGAGCTCCAGGGCATTCTCCTTCCTCCTAGAATCTTCTCCCTCCACTCAGAGTAGGAGACAGTTCCTCAGAGCCTCCCCTGAAGTCAAACAGCAGCCCAGTTGGTGGGGTGGGGGGAACGGGGGAGTAGGAGTGGGAAGGAGGCCTCAGGAGCGTTCTTTGTGTAAGAAAGTAAAATCCACAGTAGACTCAGGAACCCCGTAAAGAGAACAGAAGAATGCGCCTTTGTATTAGGAACAGCTCTTTCTTTACATTGAAACTAGAAACACGAAAACTCAATTGCAGGCAGCTACCTTTCTCCTTTCTTATTCTTCCTCCCTTCACACCGTGCCTAACTAGGCAAACATCCGGGCCCTAAAAGAACATCAAATATTGGTCGGTGGAATCTTAACATCCAGGAGCAATCCAGCAATGTTTACACAGGGTGTCCGGGGAAACTCTTAGATTCCAAAAGCATTGCAAGTCTAATATTCCCCAGTGAAAGAATACAGTCAGAGCCTCTAAACATGTCCTGAGGTAAATAAGACAACATTATTTGACCCTCGAATTTAAGCAGTGATTTGGGGAAGCTTTTACATGTTATTGGCATTTTTCTTTTTTAGCATAGACGTTATAAGAGACAAAAGTTTTATTGCTACTTAAGAAGGGATCCTTTTCTCTTAAATTAACTTCCTCTTTCTACTTGCACAATAAAAGGGGGTGTGTGTTAATAAAGCCAGTCAGATAGTGAGCTTGCTTGCCTCTTATGCTTGTGTGCCCGTGCCCCCCAGTACCTTTCATTCAGAGGGCTGTTATCTTTATCATGTACTTAGCAACGTTTTTTTTTAAAGTGAACACTGCCTCCTCCATTTTACAGAAAGCAATGGGAATTGCACCACGGGAATGACACTAAAGGGATTGAGAAGAGACTGAAGTTCAAGTGCTAACAAATTTGAGTTTGTAGGTTGAGATACTGCCTGTGTGTCTCTTATCCCCTTCCCCATATTCATTTTCTGATTAAGGCAACTGAGCACCTACCTCATTTTGGTTCCTGTTTCTTTGTAGTTCCCCTTCCAGTTAGAGGCTCAGTACAGGGTAGGAAAAATTCTGACTGTTCTAGTTGTGTGTATGCGTGTATATATGTGTGTGTGTGTGTGTGTGTGTGTGTGTGTCTGGCTCTTGCTACTGTCTATGTCCAGCGAGCATTTCACTAAATCTCAGTATTCCTCAGAGCGATGCAACAAGGCATAGATCATTATTTTCCTTCTTCAAACGAAGAAAGAGGCTTATGCGTGTATATACGTGTGTGTGTGTGTGTGTGTGTGTGTGTGTTTCTGTTTATAGATAAAATTGTCATTTTTGTATACATGCCTCTCCCCAGATAACTAGGTTATTAACTACTTGATAAGCAACCTCACATGCTTACTATCTTCAAAACCCAAGCAAGAAGCAAAATGTCTGCCACAGAGTAAAAAAATGATGGACTGCTTTTTTTAAAAGTATCACTGAATGAACGAATTCTTTGCTTCTGATTGAACCTGCTTGGAGGCCTTACTTAGTGCAGATGGATCCCAGGAAACCATGTTCCATGTGCAACTCAAGCTGCTTTTGTTTGATTTGGGGAGATAATCTATTTTTTACACCAGGAGTATAGACTGAAATATAAACGGGGGTATTTTGCTCCCTCTGTGTATTTTGGGTTCTAACCAGTCACCATATATTATGTCAGTCATTTCTTTCTGATCTCTCCAGGACAGAACGTTATTCCATCCTGTGAGCAACAGCTGCATGGATTGCAATCCGGCAGAGAAGAAGATTTTCATGGCCAGATGTGACCCCCTATCTGAGACTCAGCAGTGGATTTTTGAACATATTAATATGACTGTTTTAGAAAAATTTAACCACCATGCCAGCTCCTAGAAGGAAAGAAGAAGGAGTGATGACCTCCAGATTCTAAAAAAAACTAAAATTTCTCCAGCACCGGGGTGGAAAGCATCGGGAATAACATTTCCTCGATCTAGGAAGCCTGGTTTAAAGGCCCGTCAATGCCACGTCAAAGTAGGTTGTCCTGGAGAACTTCCTGCATCTGAAGAACTTGGCGGAGAACCTCACCAGCTGCTTCTGAGAACTTGAGACTAGCAGTTCCCTTGCTGGCCAAGGGCGAAGATTATTTAGGGATGTTTCAAAACAACTGCTGAGTTAATAAATCCTAGCATTTCTCAGGTCAAATCCTGCAGTAGTGAGTAGCTATGAATGGATCCTATCATTCGGGTGGGAGGGGGGTGGAAATGGAGTGCATGACGGCTCTGACAACCTGAAGATCCCGCAGGTGTAGAACTAGCCACGCTGAACGGGCGAGCTGGACTCCTTGGTGCCATTCTCTGACTAAGAATGGGTTAAACAGGTTTAACCCTTCAAAGTGCTGCAGATGATTTTAGAGTGCTCATACCATTCTGTTTTCTCATTGTTGTTTTTTACATGAAGGTGTGCTATGTAATGTAAGACTTAAATTACATCATGAAACGGACTTCCAGTGTTTCCGTTCTTGCACCGGCCATTTTCCTTTTCGGGCAGAAGTAACTTATTTTTCCTAAAAGTTCATGCTCCATCCATCAGCTGAAGTTTGAATTCAGTGCCCTTGTATGAATCCACTTTAAAAACAAAATCAGAACACTATGCTACCCGGTTACTCCAAAGAGAATGATTTCACAGAAGCAGCAAAACTATGTAAGGTTTAGGAGAGGGATTTCCTTAGGAAATCGATTTTTACTTTTCTATTCTTTTTAGAATTCTAGGAGCCTGATGTTTGTCCAGTCATAATTTTTATTAAGGAAGGGAATGGAGTGAGGTTGATGTAATTTGTTTAAGGAGATTCCTAAACCCAAATAAATCTACACTCCAAGTGCCGTGTGAAAATGTCTCCATTCACTTCAATTCTGTTTGGTCAGTCCTCGGTACATAGAAGTGGTTTTGTTTGTTTGGTTTTAGATATTTTTTGTTTTATGTCACTGATATTAATGATGTTTTTGTTTTTCTTGGAAATTCCTTGGAAAATCCGAAGGAATTTCCATTAATAAAGTGCTTCTGACACTGTTTTCTGTAAATGGGACAATATTTCAGGGGTGAAGAAAGGAATGATTAAAAAGCTACATGGAGCATTTAATCCTTAAGACAATCTTTTTTTTTACTTTTCAATAATAACGGGGGTGGGAGAGGAATATATAGAGAGATTAAGATGGGTTTTAAGAAAAAAATTATGTTTATTTTACATTCTTCAAGTTTTTTCTAGTAGAAAGAAGTGTTTGTTTTGCTTTCATTGTTTTCTTTTAATGTGGTTTCCTTGTTAAAATGTACCCGTCGTCTTGGATATAAAAACAGTGAATTTTAGAATTGGGAAGACTCTTAGTCCAATCCCTTTGTTTTTATCGATAAATGACACAAGCCCAGAGAGGATATCCCTCCTCCTGGCAGGGCAGAGGGGTCCTCTGAGCCCGTCCAGTGCTTCTTCCTGCTCTTGTCGCCTCACTCTGCTGCCCGAGGCAGTTCTGATTATTCCTCTGACTTAACTCACCATTTCCCATCACTAGATGAAACATCACACCTCCCTGGGGACGCCTGCAAGAGGAGCATTCACACTCAGAAGCTTCACTATATGAAACCTCTGCTTGTAAATGTTCGTGGTTTTGTTCTCTCCTCGAAATCTAATCAAAATGTCCAGTTAAGCTGCCCTGCTAATAGTTGGGGAAGAGCTATTTTGTTATCTTTACTGATTTTTCAAGCGTTCTTTTGAAGGACTCTTCTTTTTAAACTGACAGATTTTTTTGAGTAGGTCAAGAGATCTTGAAGGTTTCAAGATGCATAGTAGAGAAAATCAATAGTGAAAAATGAACCTGTGTACTGGGCAATTCAGAGAGTGAGAGAAGCTTTGTCTCAAGTGTTCAGAGAGCAATCTGGTTTTAGAAGTAGAAGTGCCTATAAAAATTCTCATTATGTCATTAATCAGTTGACTGCTATTTACGCTTCTACGCAAGCGTCAACATTGGGTCCTGCACACTGGTCAGCTGTGTTAGATGCTCTAATCATGGGAAGCTAGCCATAGCATGTTGGCCATTGTCCTCGGAGAAAGTCTGCATATCGCATCATTTTAATGTAACCCGCAGAATCAACAAAGATTGGTTTCCTGATTATAGATAAACTACCTTTTGGATCTAACCTCACCTTTGAGTCCAAGGACGTAATGTAAAAATTTAAAACTAACAAAACAAACAAACAAAAATAAGAGAAGCTTGACACAATCAAAGCCAAAACTGAAACTTCAAACTGCCAAAAAAATTGTTAAAGTTTGCAAATGGGAACCATCCCAACAGAATAAAATGAAGTCACAAGAATCCCCCCCTAAGCAGCAGGGCCAGGCTTTCGCAATAAGCACATGTCAGGAGGCATTCCCCCTACCACCCAGGGTTGGGACTCTACTTGAAATACCACCATGACCATTCTGAAAAGTAGGAAATTACATATGTCGGTGTATCTATTTGGCCAAGAGGACCGAACAGATTTCAGAAAGATTCTCTTCTCTGGAAAGAACATGATTTAGATGCTGATCAGTACTCAGCTGTTCAGAATTTGAAGGGACATGTCATAAACTTCATCTGACCTCAAAAATTACTACTTCTCCCTAAGAGACGGCTTTGTCAGAAGTTAGGAAGTAGTTAATTTTTTAAATCCTTGTTGTGTATTTACTGAGAAAAGTCTGTGCTGGAAAAACAGTTGTGAACTAATTGTGGGATTTATACTTTGTTCCAAGGCTGGATTAGCACCATGGCAATAACGATGTATTGGTGTCTATGTCTACTACTACTATTTAGTTCAAAATATTAATGTGATCACATGACTGGTTTTAAATGTATTCATTATATCTGAGGCCTCAGTGAATAATGCCAGTTAAAGGATTATTTGGTGAATTAATAACATAGAGCTTTATAAAATAAATGCATAACATATATTGAAAATGGATTTATAACCAATAAAGGAGAATGTTAGGCCCATCCTATTCTTGATCTTGCCAAACATAAAACCAATGCCAACACTTGACATCATTGCTTTTAGGGGCAATTATATATGGTTGGTTGTTTTTCTTAAAGTAAAAACACCCAAAAGGTCAATAAAGGGCATATAAGTAACTCCTTGGTGCTTCTTGCCTTTCCATAAAAAAAAGATAACTTCTATTTTGATCCTTTTATAACTATCTCCATAAGAATAGCAAAAAAAGGTGTGTGGGTTTTTTTTATTGGAAAGACCAGCACTGTTTATGTCAGACCAATCAAAAGAGCCAATGACACTTTACGAAGGTCAAGGTTCAATCAAGAAGGCCACACCCACCCTGTATTGACATTCCCTGCCCAGGACCTCACACACCTGAGGACCAGGACAGAACTGACGGCAAGACCCTCCCCGCTCCACCCCCAACCCCCCCGCTTTTGACTTCCCATCTGAAGGGTTACAGAATCTTTCCCAGGAGCGGACATTTCCCTCAGCTTTCAAATGCTGCCGGGTTATATTATTTGGAATTTGGAGCCATCCTAATAATATCTGATTCTTGTGAACCTTGATTTATCCCTGGCGAACCATTTAGGAAGGCTGTAATATGCTTTCATAAAGAGGCGCTGGAGATAAGGCAGTTAGGCCTGGGAGTAAGGCATTTTATACACACCCTGAGACAGAAAACCTCCAAGGGAAAGTATTTTTAAGTGATTCCCTATGATTCTGGGAGTAAATATAAATGGCACGAGGTAAATTGTATCTCTACACGTGGGTGCACATAATCCTCTCCATCCAGCTCGTCGACAAGTTCTTCCCTTGCCATCATAACTCTCAGATGACACCACTAACTGTAATTACTCTCCATGTGTGGAACTGTGGCGAGGACGCCGAAGCGTGACAAGTGGCCGGTCTTCCCCACACTGCCGACATTGGAGGATTGCTCTTTGATTAATGTCTGTAGCCTTTGCTTGCAGAACTGGGAGCTGTTTGCAACTCTATTTGGTAGACTTGACATTGGCCTGAAGCTTTTATTCGCAGCCACTCATCTATCCACTTGACGCACCAGGCTGGCGTGTCTGGTGCTGTGACTTAGCAGACAGCAACCAGGGCACATGTTTGGCACTTCACTTCAGAGCATTTCTCTGTCCCTCCTGCCTGAAGTTGCCCCCTCCAGCTCACCCCACAGTAGCTTCCCAAGGTTTCCGCAAACTTCCACTCTCCACATTTGCTTGGTCCCGTAGTGATGTGACCGGCCTCAGTACAAAAAGGCAGCTACATTTCAGAATCTTGTTGTGGATGATTTTACTCTGTCTTTGTATTCACCTTGGGGAGGATTGTTTATCTCTAAGTGACATAGGTCCTGGTTTACCAGAGACACTCCTGCGTTATGCCTGCTGTCCTGCGTAATTACTGAGAGTGCCCCCTTTTACTCATAAAAGTGTCCTAGTTTTTATAACAAAGCATACGGTGGCTCTATCTGTAATACTAGCCTGTTTCCTTCCTGGTTCCTCTAGGGACAGTTCAAACATCCTTTACTTATCAATGCCTGTCGTCTACAAGAAATCAGCTAGCCTCACCCCCGCCCTTCAAACAGGACCAGATAAAAACAGTTATATTTGATGATTGTCTTTTGCATACACATGTTTCTTTACAAGTTGCTTAATGAAACCCTTTTAATAAGAGTTCTTACACTCATCTTAGTCTTTTTTTCTGAATTAAGACAATTCTAATTTAAATGTTTTCTTAATTTAAAACTTTTTATTTGAAGTCAACTAAGTTATTTTATACTTTTTCAAGCTAAAAAAACAGGAGGTCCTCCCTACTAGCCATATTATTAATTCTCAATGTATGGTAAGGGATAGAGATAGATGGAGAGAGAGAGAGAGAGAGAGAGGCATTCTATCTGACATTGATCATATGACTGTCCTTATGAAGAAACTGGAGGGCTCAGAGTCAAGGGGTTGCCAGGTCAAGGTCATACAACAAGTTAACAGCAGATCCAGAACTAGAATTCAGGCCTTTTGATGCTTAGTTCTCAGCCTCTTCAACTCTCCCCCATACTTCATACCTCAGTAGAGGGTCATGAGTCCACAGCAAAACCAAATATGAGATGTATGGAGTGACTTTAAAATAATGTGAACTATCATTTCTTGGGGGGCTATGTTCTTAACCCCTTAATCATGTTTGGTCTTCTCTGTGCCTGTGTATTTTTGTTGGTTTTCCCACAAGCTTATTAAAGTAAGAATACCAAACTGAATGCAGGATTAGCCCCTCTTAATGAGATTTTCAAGGTACTCTGAAGAAAAGAAGTGATCGACTAAAGCTATTTGCATAGTTCTGTATGAAAAATCCTAAAGCAAATACTGCATGCTTTGTGATTATTAATGGGCTCAGCCCTCAGCAGGGAAAAAACAGCCACCAAGCAAAGATTTTGCACTTACTTTGCAATAAGGCTCCAAACTGACCTTCTTTCATTGTCCTTATTTCTGTATCCTGTTCTGCCCAGTTCACCTCAGCCATCTGAGGCTCTTTAAATGCCCTGATGTGACTTTCCTGGGCGGCAGTTTCTCACTTCTGGGTATCCGGGCAAATATGTAAATAACTAGACCTTACCTCAAATCTCCTAAGTCGGAATTTCTTGATAAGGCTGCTAGACACAGAAAAGTCTACAAGTCTACAACTGAAAAGGTAATGAATTGCTTCGTGCTCCACTCTGAACGTCTTCCCAGTAGTGGACAAGTTACTTCTCTGACAGGGCTGTCTTGCTCGCATACAGGGACCGCAAATGTCTGAAGGAAAGGTCAGTTGGAATCCAAAGCTAAACTTGCGTTGAAAGAAACAAACCCAAGAGCATTTGCTTTCAAACATCTTCTAGTTTTTCTTAGGTCATTGGTTATTAAACCTCAGCATTTAAGCACCTGGAGGGATAGTTACAACACAGATGGTTAAAACTCTGGGCCACACACCCCAAGTTTCTGATGCATTCCATCTGGGATGGGGCCCAAAAATTTACATTTCTAGCAAGTTTCTAGGTGATGGTGATCCTGACGTTTTGGTATCCACACTTTGGTTTAGATTAATCGTCTCACCTTTTTGAAAATGTCTTTTTAAAGAT